CATCATCATCATCATCATCATCATCATCATCATCATCATCATCATCAACAGCATGAACAAACGTCAATCTTCGATAGTGCATACATGTTGTCTTACTTCTTGGATGTGATTCTTTCAGCACTCGGATCACCAGACAATGCTCGAATACTCCACAACATCTTTTTCGGCACGATCGAATGCGCATGTGTCTTTACCCCTTTGCTCCATGGACTGCCACGTTTACTCCTTCGAATCCTTTTCCCTCCTATATATGGATCTGGTGAAAGCAGTATGATGATGTTGATTTGGGTTAACGAGGTAAACAATGAAGATGGTGTCTCGGGATACCCTTGTTCACCGAGGTTCACTGCTCGTATGGGTTCACTCAATCTAGAGATTGGATAGGCAAGATGAATCACCACGGACCTCGCAAAGAGCGTTTAGGATTAGGATACTGGTGGATGATGTGGATTGGTATTTTGCTAGCGGTATTAGGATAGCATTTTGGGTCATAGAAATAAAGATTGCGGTATAGTGCTAGTTCCCGGACATTCTGTGATTGAGAAGATATGTACTTGCATGGCTCATGAATGTTTGTCCTATGGATAACCAATTATCCTTGAATCATGAATACACCCTTAAGCATCCATATTGATGATATAAAAAGAGAATTACCTTACAATGGGCAACGGGCGGCAGGTCCTCACACAATCTGCAGACCTCATCTTTTCATTGCTTTGAGTTCAAATAGCCAAGTGAAGCGTGTAACAGTAAAAGAGACAACGGGAGGAATTTTGCTGATTTGAGGAGGTTACCGTATTATTTACGTGGATCACGTTTATAGCAAAACCAAAGTCCACTACATGTCATTGCTATCCACTATCATGATGCACCTGGGTTAGAAACTAATTATGGCTGCTGGATCATGAACAGCATTGTTGCCAATCAATTGCTGATGCTTAGTACATATGCGTAGGCCTAATGAAAGTATGATGTATTATAATAGATTCCGCATGCTTTATTATGCATGAGCTTATAAATGTATGTATAATATTATTACAACGAGATATTAATATAGACATCTAGCAAGGCATTGATGACCGCCACCAGTCAAAGGTTGCTCCTACCACCAAAGAGCAATGTTTTGTTAAGACGTTGACGACAGCTACAAGCCGGCCATGATTTTCCACAGAGTTGTCCGTAAACGCTGCATCTACTATCATATGTCAAATGATTGGTATGCATGCCTCCAAAGTACGACCCCATACTTACAATGCCTTGCCAATACACATTTTCCATTGTATGCGTGTTTCCATTCCTTGTCCATTGACAGAAGTTGTACTTCATCCTTGCTCCAGTCGTGAGTCCTCCTGATTGCTCCTTGCCATCTTTAACTGTATGTTGTGCCATCCACTTGATACGCCCTCATTGAATTGAAAGAAACTTTGATATGCATGGTGGTCACTCTATGGATGATAATGTCAGCAGTAGCTAGGTAAAAAAGTGACCCAGATGTACTTACCGATTATCATGGGGAGCGCGTATATGGTTTTGAGTATCCTTTCACTTGTGCCAACGTAAGGCCGTTTGTGGTCTACCACCGATACCAGCGTGATCCAAGTTCTCCTAGCATAGTTCTTGCAAGTCCCACTTTTCTTCTTTTCTCTTCTTTTTCTTTTCTTTCTACAAGCCCACAATGAGAATCCACTTTTCATCCTTGATAATGCCAATCATATACGTACTTTTCTTTCAGGCTCTTTTGATTTTGATGATATTGAATGCCAATCCTTATTTGAGTGATGGTCGAGATTGTTGAGCAGATTCAGCACGGCACCCAACGGCCAGGCGACTCTTAATCGGTGGACGCATGGTGCCCTGTGACCCTGAACGACAAAGCGATACATATCCTCCAGACCGGTCTTGATGCCATTGACGTTTGTTTCCAGGCATGTTTGTTCTATAATACCTTTGTTAATACATGGACCTTGTATGCCAACCAGTTCACAAATGATACTTACTTTGACGTTTGTGTTTGTGTTGTATATAGCGCTTGTTTGAAATGATTGATGAACGTGTATGCGCGTACGAGAGAGATAGAGAGAGAGCCATAGATTGATTTTTTTGATGTATGTGGAATCTTGCAATTGCTGTGCATAGGAAATCCAGAATCGATCGCCAGAACCGCTATGATATGGTACAGACATTCCATGATTGCATCTATGTAATGATATGGTAAGCGTCATAGTTATAGATGGGCTTTTGGAAGCATATACGTACGTTTTGAATGGTCGATCCTTGGTTCGTTTGTTCTTGACTTTGGCTGCAATGTCGACCATGTTGATTTGATAATGCGATTTGAGCCTTCGTCATGTTGTCCGTAACCATGCATGAACCTCCGATGATAGGAAAAGGTCCACAGAGCACCAGGCATCTTTGGATTGGTATGGCTTTGCGGAGAAGATCCAGATTTGAATGATGATAACAATCGTGGTTGATATTGTGAATGCTCTTGCAACGCCATACCACCCATGTGTATATGAATGCATAGCCTTCTTGATCACATAGAGTGTAGATGATCCAATATGAAGTCATGGCACGTGCATTGGTTCCAATTCGGCATGCTCCACCACCGGGGGATGAGATGTCTACACCATCCGCTACCACATGTGTGCTTTGAAATCCGTCCCTCATGCCATTGAATTGGAATATCTTGGTGATGGCAAATTGTAACAAGAAAGCCTTCTTGAAAGATCACTTTGATGCATATGCCGCCAATGGGATGTCATGTGAACATAATGCGACGCCTGCAGGTATGCCTTGGTTCCGCCAAGTGCCATAAAGCCATCCTCATAGTTGTGTGTTGCCAACCAACTCAAGTGATAAATGCCACCAGTGTCCAAAAATCTCTTGTAATAATCCATTCTTGATGCCATACGTATGAACCTTCCCAGTTGCAGGCATAACAATCGTGGTGTGATGAACGTCAACGCCTTCCACAATGCCATTGCGTTGCCATCTGTGTGACTCTTTGTCGATTATAGAATACAATAGGCCACCTCCTCTTTGCGTTGTAGCGTTCCGCCAAATAAACGACATGAACCTCATTTTGGTCGTCACCAGATGATGGTGTTCTTGCTGTTGCCACCATGACGCCCATAAAAGGAATACGTGTTGATCTGCATCTTGATCCCATAGCCATGTATCGTATCACAGAGAGGAGCACCAACTGCTGAATGAAGCAGGATCGTATGCACGTGGATCAAAGATAATAGCTGCATCGCAACGAATCGCCTCATCGAATAAAAGAAAAAGAAGCCCTTGTGCTTTGTTGCCATGCCGATAAATGCCCAAATTCAGTGACACCATGTCGTGGATTGAAGAAAGAGACCCCAGTGTGCATTGAACAACAATGATAAATGACCCTAATAGGTAACGCCGCCAATAGAAGGGAAAATGTCTTGTCTCCTCTGTAGTCATGACGATAAGTGTGTCCCGCCAATAAAATGAAAAACAATTCCTTGTGCCTTGTCGCCTTGGTGATGAATGTGTTGAAATTGGTAACGATGCCAGTAGAATCAAAAGGACCTCCTTTGATCTGTCGCCATGACAATGAATGTATCCAAATAGATAATAGCGCGAATAAGATGCATGCAATGTAATGTCGTTGAGTTGTAGCCTTGGCAATAAATGTGTCCAACTTGGCAATAGCACCGATCCAGTATTCTTGAAAAGACACACCGTTTGCTTTGTAGACATGATGATAGCCTCTTAACATGTGGCAATGCCAATGAAAGGAGCGAGAGAAATCTTGAGACTTGTAACCATGGCGACCCATGTGTTCAGCTTGGTAATGCCACGAGTAAAAAGAAAAGAGAACTCTTGCGCCTTGTTGCCATGACAACGATGCCTTGATATCATTGTACCATCTATAAAAAGAAAAGAGAACCCTTGCGTGTGTCCATTGGTATCCACCATATGCACAATATCCGAATCGGTAACGCCACCAATAAAAAGAAAAGAGAACTCCTGTCCTCCGCGACAGCAGCCGCTGCTCATACAATCGCCCCAAAAGGGCCCAAGGCCTATTGTTAAGAGAGACATCCATTAACATTTTGAAAAGACATAGACATTCGTATTTCAATACATACCACAGCCAGTGACCATAACATGTTCACAGGGATACCCTACAGAACCAGAAACAAGGACGTGGCATGTCATCCCAGGCACATTCAACCCCATGTGGAGAGTGAAAGGAATCGACATGAGGCCTCTTTCCCTCCCACGGATCCTTCAAAGTCTTATCCTCTGCACCAAGGGTACCGGATCCAACGACGTCCAATCTTCAACAATCCCCAGGCTATGATGCCTTGCCCACCATGTCTTGATGTTCCTTTGCCGATACCCACTTCATAGAATGATTACCGCTTGTGCCAATACATGATCATCCAACATGTAAAGGCGGTGGCACTATGCAGGGACACATCACAGTATCAATAACCATGATGGCCCCCACAACGTAAAAAGACATTAGTAAGTAAATGGGTGATAAAACAATACCGGTATTTTGACTTACCCTTTCAAGACCAAAACAAGCACCTCAGTGGGTAACGTAGCAACTAGACCATGAGAGGACGTAGGAATGCAAGGTCTTGTACATAGCAAACTGGATCATGGATACCAATTGGACTTCTCGTTGGCTCTTACAGCACCCAAGGTAGCGTCATCGATGACCCTCCAGATCCTCCCACCGCGAGACCTACATGCCGACCCTTTCACTCAACACACATGAAGCTGAACGTACCTGAGAATCATCCACGCTTGAGACTGGACTGCAGGGCATCCCATCCGTAACCATAAAACGTCCTCAAGGAAAAGGACCACCAAACCAGTCGCCCTATAGATGCGATAGAAGTATATAAGTAATAGTTGCAAAAATAGATAGACAATGTTCACTTACCAAAAGGCACCCACACACGCGTTCAGTCAAAGAGACCGAGGGCTTCACGTGCCTCACGCACATCATCAGGGATGGCTGATGGCGATGTTGGCTGTTGTTGTGGTGGTGTTGCGGATTCACGAGGTGGCGTAGGGGTAGCGGAAGTAATAGTGGTTGATGATGTTGATGAGGATGGCATAGATGTTGGCATAGATCGTCGTGGTGGTGGTGGTGGAGGAGGCATATCAGGGCGAAATCGAGATGAGGAAGACGAAGAGGCGGAATTAGTGACAGGAGTAGAGGTTGTAGTGGTAGTCGTAGTGGTGGTGGTGGTGGTTGCGGATGATGATGAAGATGGGTTGCTGGCTTGTCGGATTCGTTGAAGACGTGATTGGATGAGCGCCATGGTAGGGTTGTAAAGAGGGGCAGGATGAGGAGGAGAGGTAACGATAGTGGTGGTGGTAGCAGTAGCGGTATTAATGGCAGTGGAGGGGATGGCGGTGTCGATGTTGGCATAAGGGATATCAATATCCATAGGAATGGCAGTAGTGTTGGTGGTGGCGGTATCGGTGATGCTTGAAGGAGTGTCGGTATTGTTGGTGGTTGAAGGAATGGTAGTGGGAATGGAAGCAGCGGTAGAGTTGGTGGTAGTGGTGGCAAGTGCGGTGATAACAGGAGAGTTGATGACTTCCATTGGTTCAGGTTCTGGTTCAGGGAAGGTGGGGACGTTTGACATAATGGAAAGCAAGTCGTCCTCTAGAAGACATAAAACCATGTTAATACTTACATCCATATGAACACACAATTCGTCAAATCTATATTTACCGATTTCCATTCTGTCAATGGGTTCCTCGTATCGCCAATCAAAAGGTGGCGCCATGTACGAATCTTCGTCAAACGGGTCATTCGCACTCAAATGGTAAAACAAGAAACCTATAAGAGTCATTGTTAGCAATATGCACGAGGAAGTAAATGGCTCGATATATACTTACAAAGTTCCTCCATCTCATCGTCATCCTCAACACCAAAGTCAGCATCGTGAGCGTCATCATCAGCAACAGGATTAACCTCCTCAACAACACCAGCAGGAACAGCAACACGATCTTCATCAGAAACAGGAGCACCAGCAGAAGGAATATCCTCACCAGCAAAAGGAACTTGAGCAACGTCAACAGGTGCACGAACAGAAGGAACTTGAGCAACGTCAAGAGGAGCAGGAACAGAAGGAACAGTGACAGAAGGAACAGTGACAGGTTTGTCATCAGCAGTGAGATCGGAAGCATCAACACGATCATCAGTAACAGGCTCAACATCAACACCAAGAGGAGCAGCAACACCAGCATCATCATCATCAGGACTAGAGACGGCTTCTTGACGAGCAGAAACACCAGCACAGGAACCAGAGACCACTTTGTTGCCTTCATGTACACAAGGAACACCAGCAGGAGGAACACAAGAGGGATCGAAACGAACAAAGTGAACCGAAAGGACTTCACGAGATGGGGAGAGGTTGGTGACAATGAGACCAGGCAAAGGGCGAAGAGGCGAGTAAGGGTTGTAAGTGGGATTGACAATGGACCGCCACATCACCACGAATGCAACAAAAGAAGACCGCAACGCAACAAAAGACAGCACCACAAAAGAGGTCCACCACGAAACACAAAAGGACGCCAACGCAACAAAAGAGGACATCAAGGCACCAAAAGAGGACACCAACGCACCAAACGACAACCGACAGGCAACAAACGAGCACAAAGACACAGCAAAAGAGAACCACCAGGCAACAAACGAAGACCACCAGGCAACAAAAGAGGGCCAACAGGCAACAAAAGAAGGCCAAAAGCGAGAAAGAACGTAGCCAAAGGCAAACGAGAACGCGGCAGGGACACCCAAAAGCTGCACAAGGCAAGCAAAAGGAAACGCAAGAAGAAGAGCAGGTTGAGAGAAGCAGTAAGAAGCAGCTGAGAGAGCAAAACAAAGCATGGTAGCAGAGTTGAAAAAAGTTGGGAAGAAAGAGGAAGAAATTCGTTGAGCTGGAAACGTCTATTTTATTACCAAGAGCACGTCACCCCATTTCACCCCATTTGACTAATCCAATGTCATGATCCTTCTCAATTGCAGTTGGAATGGGTAAACAAGTATGTCTCAACTATCTTTATATCACTTACTCATAAAAGGGTATAGGTGTGGTAGTATTGTTAGGTGTAGTTGTATTATAGCCATACCGCAGCAATAGCTTTACTCCCCCTTGAACACCGCTTCTTGTATATAATGATAATAAAAGATACGTTTATGAAAGCGTTATGAGTGGTGGTGTTGTTTATTGTATATGTTTATGCGTGTATGAGGGGCAGAGACTAATTTACTTGTGTGGTGTGTAGGTGTGTTCTCACTTCTTCTTGCTGCTCCTTGCCCATTCAGACCCAACGCCGCAATGGTGGTTCGACATGGAAGCCCTCATTAGTAAGCGATGTGTGAGAAATAGCGTGTATGAAGGTGAGTAGCGTGGTAATAGAGTGTAAGAGCCAACTTGCCTCTCTTCGTTGTGTATACTCATATGCGTGTCTTTTACAGCCTTCTTGGTTCAGCAATGGCGACAATTGCAAGGTTCGGGAGGAATGGGGAAAGAGATTCTGTTCCATAACTGCGACGAGTACATTGCTTACGGTGAAAGCAAGACCACTTGGAAGGTGTGTAGCAAAGGGGGATGTTGGCATTCGATCTCGACGAGTTTCTTACAATGAACATTAGGAACCTTGATCAAGCGACCATATCACGTGATATTACAGCAAGATCAGAGCATGAAAAGATATGGCAACCTCTACCGATGGTATGTATAAAGCGTAACGATATGCAAAGGATGGGAATGAATTATTGGATGATAATGAATGGATTAAAATAGGATCATCTTCAATCAATATCATTGGATTTTCCGTGTCTAGCGATGTCAATGCATTGGGCGATATCAAGCATGACGCATGGATCGTAGAAGTGCAATGCACAATGGTGATGAGCATGGTTTCTCGCAAGTTTCCTACAAGACAATGAAGGACGCAATTATTCATGGCATGGAAGTACATGGCGCGCTTGGATGTAGTTTACCGTGTTGTTGCTTTAAGGTGTGTATTACTCTACAGTTGACATTTTTACCATGTACTGATGAACATGTATTAGCCACCATGCCTTGTGGGCCTTCTGGTTGAGCCACTTTGACAATGGCTTGTTCATGTCATGATACATTGAGATGAATAGAAAGCCTTGGTGCTTAGCACAACAAGTCAACGAGTTCCTGTTATTCCACCAAATGCCTTCACGACGGCTCTTTCACTAAGGTGCTACTCGTATTCCATGTCGTCTTTCCGCATTCAACATTATCAACAATTGGTTGAAGGCATCCGGCTCTTGGTTACTATATCATCCAACACGTCGATCGGAGACAGGTACATATTGCATTTTACCTTTCGCATCTCACAACCCTAAACAACGTGTATGATCCATGGTAGCATCTCAACCGCAAAACGATTGTCAATCAAGCTTGATCTTCCTCTCAGGTTGCCAGGTACCGTGGTGTGAGCGCGATAATGTGCACGATTCAAAAGGTAGGCAACGTGGTCATTCGATATGAACGTCGTCTCAAACGACCCATCTATCTTACAGATATGCATAGAAACACCTTGACATGAACCACGGCATTGGTATGTGAGGTATATAGACGAAGATGGAATGATGGAATGGTTTAGATGGTGGTTGTTTCATGCAGCTCATCACTTTTGGTTTTATTCTTTAGACACATCTGAAAGCAAGCACGGGATCGTTCATGTTGGATGCAATTCATGCGTATGAATGGTACAGCAAGCAACACGATATGGAAATGGGTTGCGATGCCATGATTGATGGGGAAAGGAAGGACGACAAGCAATTGCTGGCATGAGATGGATGTACCTGGATGACCCTTCAAGGTGGATCAAGTATGGCATGTGGATCGCTCCTATGCAACGCTGCATGGTGATCTATTTGAACCTTTCGAAACGCGACAAGAGATACTATCAAGGAGCTCTTAGATGCATTGCATTGGGATTGGAGCAAAATGGTGTGTAAATGATGTGATTGGGGATGATACTGCATCTTCACTCTTTAATGGTGTATGATGGCTAATGGAGCTTCCTTTGGACGTATACGTTAGGCGCTTTATGGGTGATCCCTGATTGCAGACTCTCTAAACGTTCACATTTGTGACCTGGCAACCGGTTATCATCATACGTCTCCTGGCTACGGCATCAGCGATACAGCTCGCCTTTTTGGGTTGTCCTTTTTTCGGCATTCTCTTTGATCTCCTCGAAACGTGGTATACGCTTGATACCATTACCTCCACGCATACCACCATTGAGAACCACAACACCATATTGAGCCGGATAGATGGATGAATGAAGACGACTGTCAACAATCGCTATCTCTTCAACATGTCACTATGTGGCTATGCTTGCTTTTGATATGGATCCCACCCATTGATGTTGGTGCACAGCAGCATATACAATGATGGTGTTGCATGAAAGGAGAAGTGTGGATGGCACAAATGGATTCCTCTTTACGGCGCTACAAAGATCTTTAGCAACAAAGCAAGCAGATGCATGGTGGTGAATCACAGCAACAAGTATTCCTCTTCCCCGTCGAAATGGCTACATGGACGGATAATCACAAGTGACCAACATGGAATGCAATCTACCAGCACAAATGGCATCTAGGAATGGCTCATCATCATCGTCCTGGGAATACTTTTGCTTTCTTTCACAATACAAGGCGCACAAACCACACCTAGCGTTGATCTATATTATTCCATGCATGGGGCTGGATGGTGTCAAGGGGATTCTATATTACGCAAGATATTTTTGTCATCCACAAAAGGAGGACGAGAATTGGATTGTTGCATCTCGCCATTTCGCACCCACATGTTATTATAACATGCTTTGCTTGAACGAATCCTCAGTGATTGTCGTTTCCATGGCAACTGAAACGCTTATACCGTTACATTGGACGACACACGTTGCGAAAGAGCGCTATCTGAAGAGTCGCAATTGCAAGGTCACTAGACAAATTCCATGAGATGTTTTTACCCTCGCCAAAGGAAGGAGCAAAAAACGCAACACAATACTGGCAAATACACCGACATCTCGCAACAAGATGTTTTGAACAACCTGCGATACAAGATCATTTCGCCTGTATATCATGTTTAGCACGTTGTCCCATTTTGAATTATATAAAGACGCACATCGACGATATCCCCGCAGTCGACAGCCAACGACAAATGAATCACATGATCGTCATTACGACACATGTACGCGGAGGCAACAATGCCGTGATGACAAAGATGACGTGTTACCTATAGCCAACAGCAAAAATACAGTTTTTAAATCCTTAGCACCATTGCAGACATCCTAATTACTTGAAGTATCTCGAATAGGCGTGCAATAAATACAATCTTTTGATCCAATGATTACAATCGTCATCACGTACATACAATATCACGTCTTCATAATAACACTTAGAGGAACTGCACAAGCAATATTGAAACCTTGCTTTAAAAGCTATCGGCTATTTATTTCAAGTCCGGGTATTGCATTCTTCAAAGAGTCAACTGTATAATTGCCAACTGAAAGAGGGACTACAAGTGTCTTTAGCCTGTTGCAAGTAGCCAGGCCTAACAAAGCCGCATCATTCAATTGCTCGCTTGCATGAAGAGTGAGATGTTCGAGTTGGTGGTCATTGGACAAAGCACAAATGAGAGAACCGCTAATGATTGATGCCTTAATTGTGAGATCGGATAACGCTGGACATTGTTTGAAAAGGTCTTCAATGAAAGGGATCCTCCCACTAAGGAAATCGTCTCCAACATGGATCGACAACTTGTTCAAGGAATGCAAACGTGCGATGGAGTCAAGCAATGGCATATGGATTCGATGAGATATAAGTTTGAGTTCCTTCAATGTGTCGCGTGGTGGAAAACTGCTTGCTGTACGGTGATCAACATGTTCATTCAATACTTGCTGCAATGCATTAACACTCCTTGTCGGTAAACCTGTGGTCACCCCCTCATCATAATCATAAAAGCAGGTTCCAATCATAAAGCTGCGTATGTGTTGTAGTCGGCCTAAAGAGGGATGAAGTACTGAAGGACCCAGAGCATCTCCACTTAAGCGTAATGTCTGAATATTGGGGCTCCCTTGAAGTACATTGCCGAAAAATTCACATGCATCCTTGACCAATCCCTCATTGACCGCCTGCCTTGACCATCCAGGTGCTTTAGTGATACCAAAATAAACGTGTGCTAGCCGACAAAATTGCATTTGATGTTTTGTCATTTCCTCAAGGTGGCTAGGATCCATATCGGTCTGCAAGTTGATTGAAAGATGCTCAAGTGTGTCTTGGTGTCGTACCACAATGGCTATGATGTCATCGATTTTGTATGCACCATCAATCGCACTGATATACAAGAAGCGTAATCATTTTGATGACGTTGTTGTGGTGGTGACTTTTGGTAATGGATCACTGATGCAAAGGGGGTTGTATTCGAGACATTGGAGATAAGGGCAGGTGGTGTCGATATGCGTCAACAGCGTGGAGTCCTTGATTAATCGAACAGAAAAATGCTCCAAGCATGGAAAAGCAAGCAACAATTTTTTGTAATCGATGGTGTTAAAGGAGAGACCAGGAGGACTGAATTCGAATCGTCGTAATGTTGGGTATGTCGAAAGATGAACATTGTGATAAAAGACGTAATTGGTTTTTAGTGAAACAAGGTTGCTGCAAGCACCGAGTACGCGCTCCAAAAAGACGGATGGATCACGATCATCATCAGATTGAAATGCAAGGCAAAGCTCCAGGTGTCTCAATGTACTGTTTATCTCCCTTAAAGTTGCATAGCCTATTTCTTGTTCCCCGAACAATGATTCATCTACAATATGACGTTGTTTAATCAAGACATTCTTCCCCATTTATGTATGGCATTACACCCGCTCACCTTGTAACTGTAACGTTTTGAGGCTATCAAAATGAGCACAATCCAAAAGAAAGTAGAATGGCACCTTGTTGCCTTTGATGCATAATGATTCAACGTAGTGTGAAAGTTGAATAATCTGATTGTGTCCATTCCATAATACATCATAAGGAGAAGTCATCACGTTGCTGGCAGGTTCTTGTGCGTCGAAGCCATAAGCAAGGTGTCCATACTGCAAAAGACGTTCACGCCATACCATTGATACATCCAAACATGCATGATGATTGTGGTCAAAGTCTTCTCCAAACACCATGGGAGCGATGCGTAGTACAACATCCAAGGGTAACTTGTGAATCATGTCAATCTTCTTTTTTAGTTGCTGTGTCGATTCCTTGATAGCATTATCAACCTCATCACGCAAGCCATCGTCATCGTCTGCTGCTGCTGCCAAGCTCTCCGCCTTCTTGTATATCGCCAACGCCTTTGAATGATAACCATACTGTGCATGGATCCTTCCTTGACGATAGTATCCACGAGGTGATAAGGGAGCGAGTTGGTGCATATGACGTGCATCCTCTAAAGCGTTCTCAACCTTTGCACACGCGCACCACGATCGTGCTCGAATGTCCAACATTGACAACTGAAAGTCGACCATGTCCAATGCGAGAGTCGATTGGCGAATAACATGCTCATGATCCCCTTGCTGGCCGGCATTGTGAAGCTCGTGCACAAGTTGCTTGAGGTACGTGTCCATTGACGGAGAAAGGAGTGTAAATCTCTTTGGGTGCAGTGCATTACTATGTGTGACAATGTTACACAGGCTAACATACCCATTGGCAACCATCGTTATCTGTGTCCATGGCAACCAATAATCACCCTTGAGAACATTCAATATTGTATTGCGGCATGGTGCTTGTTCAAGAAGATACTACAACACTCAACGTGCATCTCATTCCATGGTAGAATACTAGAACCAATTCGATCATCCTATCTTAGAAAATCATCCTACCCATCATGCACCACCAATAGATCATGCCCATGATGATTTGTAAATCCAATAAACGTCATAAAGGTCTTGAATATGCTCTCTTTCGAACCTTGAATACAATGCCAATGCGAAATGTGTTAAAATCTTGGCACATGTCGTGTCATCGTGGGTTAATCATCATCATCATCATCATCATCATCATCATCATCATCATCATCATCATCATCATCACCATTGTCATGTTGTTCCTAATGGAAAGGACTTGGCAACAACTAATAGGACATCAATGCACGCATTTGGAGTTAGAAAGGTATGATAAGTGAGGCCTTGCAGCTGAGGTAGCCGTAGACGTTAGGTATGAAGGTTTCGCTAGCGGTATTAGTGTAGGCTTGCAGTCTATGAAATAAAAGGATCAGCTTGAAATCGTATCCAATGCGCTGGGTGTTTAGTAGACATGGCGTCTTTTACAAGTGGATGATGGATGCTGTTGCAGTGATGAAGTGTAAAGCATGCCATGGAAGATAGTTTGCCCATACCACTAATAAATGGTTTGCTACCATGGATGGCTTACGACAAAAGCTCGACTTCCCAACGAGTGGCAATATTTTTCTACAGATGGATTAAAGTGTATGGGGGTGAACAAACATGCGGAAATGGAACACTATTCACACCCCTGAGTCTGTATTCTTTGATGAGGTAGCCTTAACTAAGAACCTTTCAGGTGATTTTATACAACAATGATTAAGTAGCAATTTGCTAAGCGACTGTTTTCAGTGGATTGTATATGACTCCTCTGGCTAATTAATCGGCTTCGTTCACTTTTAAGCTCATTCTCACGTATCACGTATGGTTATAAATTCATTCTTTTATCATTCAATAGCTAAAATATCATAGAGACAAGGGTGCGGCATCCCACAGCATTTGAAATTTACATCACATTACTAGTTGCGTTCATCCAAAATGGATCGGTCCTCTGATTGGCGGAATCTATGCATTTCAAACATGATCAATATTGACTACGCATGCCTGAAAGAACGAACCTCACCTACCTCATCGGCATATAGGATCCCTATCCATATACCTGATTCTAATATCGATCCATCATAGACCACAAAAACAAGGCACCATCGAGCAACACCGTGCAAGTGCAGAGCGACAACCCACGACAAGATAGTTTGATACTGAATCCATAGCAAGACGGTTATGTGAAAAGATATTGTGCTGCTCGCCATCATTCCTTGATGATTCTCGTGCTGAAGCGGTCCTATCCAACTAATGCTTTCAATTGCCTACTATGCGAATTGCCTAAAGAACAAGGAATTAAAAGGGTGAGGATAGAAGGTAATGCAAAGCAACTAACCACTCTTTGAATCATGCCGTCATTTCTGGTCGCAGAGTATTCCACGTGCCAACACCTGCATTCATGTATTAATGTGTCTATGAATGTTTGTATGAGAAGGCGTTAGTAGCTGGTTTGTTTGTCATGCCGTGTTGGATACCTTTCAACTTGTCACAATGCTCGAATTCAACACCAGGACCGTGGGCAGCATACGATGGCATCAGGTAGCGTATATAGTCTTGTGTGGAGATGTTGTCATCAAACGAGAAGGTTGTTTGGGGGTGTTTGCATAAGATAAAGATGAAGCTAGTAGAAAGGACCAATACCAACTGAATGGTGTAGTAAGCAAGATACAACTGCTGATACGCAATCAGATGTGCGATCACCAATGAGGAGTCTCGGGGAGAAAGTAAAGCTTTAGAGAGAGTCGGCAGGTGTATGAATGAGCCCTTGTGTTTGCACCAGAGAAAAGGTAGCTTGTTGACTTGTTGAGGGTGGTCGAAAGATAAATCAGCCATCGCCTAAGGTGTCACCATATAAACAAATCACTGCTGATGTGGATCCCCAATAAAAGCCCCTTTTGAATACTATCATAAGGCCTTCGTTAGTATTTGGTAAAACAACGTCAGCTGTAAGCGAATACATACCGTAAAGAGAAATGCATCGAAGCACGCCGTGTGCTGCCATGATCCAATACCATGAGTAATTGGGTCCTTCATTGTCTTGCAGTAAACTTGCAAAAGATCATGCTCATCACCATTGTGCGTTGCACTTCTACGATCCACGTGTGATGTTTGATATCACCCAATCCATCCACGAGGCCCGATATGATAATTCCATTGGTATTGATTGAAGATGATCCTGTTTCAATCCATTGATTTGCACTTGACGAGACATGCCTTGGATATTGCTGTACATCATACATATCATCTCTTCTCATGCTGTCATCTTGCTGCAACATCACGTGATATGGTCGCTGCATAAAGCATCCTCGTACTCATTATAAGAAGCTCGTCGAGATAGAACGTAAACATTGTCTCTTTGCTACACACTTTTCAAGTGGTCTTACTTGCCTTGTCAACAAAGTATTCGTTGCCACCCTTTCATAGAATCTCTTTCCCCATTCCTCCTGAACGTTGCCATTGCCGCCATTGCTGAACCAGGAAGGCTGTAAAAGACATGCATATCAGTATACACAACGAAGAAAGGCAAGTTGGCTTTTACACGCTAATAACACGCTACTCACCTTCATACACACCCTTTCTCACACATCGCTTGCTAATGAGGGCTTCCATGTCGAACCACCATTGCGGCTTTGGGTCTGAATGGGCAAGAAGCAGCAAGAAGAAGACGAGTACACCCATACACACACAAAAGGGAATTAGTCTCTGCCCTTCATACACGCTTACAATAAACAGAACCACCATTCATAACGCTTTCATAAACGTATCTTTTATTATCATTATATGACAAGGGGCGCTGTTAGAAGGGGGTCCAAGGCTATTGCTGCGGTATGGCTATAATACAACTACACCTAACAACACTACCACACCTGTACCCTTTTATGAGTAAGTGATATAAAGATAGTTTAGACATACTGGTTTACCCATTCCAACTGCAATGGAGAAGGATCATGGCATTGGATTAGTCAAATGGGGTGAAATGGGGTGACGTGCTCTTGGTAATAAAATAGCCGTTTCCAGCTCAACGAATTTCTTCCTCTCTCTTCCCAACTCTTATTACTTTCTGTTACCATGCTTCTCTGCGTCTTTTCCCTTGCGGTTCTTTTTACTTCTCCACCCATTTTTATAATGGCGTTTCTCCTTTACTGCATTCTGTACATAGTTGCGGAATTTGCTCTCCCTCTCTTCCTGTTGGGTTCTTTTGCCTTTTTTTACTACCACTTTTGGTCCTGCGTTGTTGCGTACTTGGAGAAGTGGGTTGCTCTTGGTGATTACAGCCGCTTGCCTCGTGTGGTTGATGCAAATCCCACCTTGGCAATGCTTAAGCCTGCTCCCCCTCCTATGTCTGGTGTTGTTGTCAAGACTGTAACTCGTTGTGGTGAGGTTCTCTCGGTCCACGTTGTGCACTTTGATCCATCGGGTGGTGATGATCATCGTGTTACTCTTGTCTCTGGTGGTGAAGAACGTGTCTCTCGTGGTGTTGAACGTATCTCTGGTGGTAAAGAACGTGTCTCTGTGGCGGATGGTGATGTTTGTGCTGCTGGTGTCTCTGCTGTGTCTGCTCGTGGTGAAGCTTCCTCTGTGTCTCGTGCTGGTGTTTCTCGTCTTGGTGGTTCTCGTTTTGATGGTTCTCATGCTGGTGGTGCTCGTTTTGGTGGTGCTCGTTTTGGTGGTTCTCGTTCCGGTGGTTCTCGTTCCGGTGGTTCTCGTTTTGGTGGTTCTCGTTTTGGTGGTTCTCGTTTTGGTGGTTCTCGTTTTGG